AAAAAAAAAAAATTTAATGCCAATATTTACACAAGCACAAAAATAAAGTTACAAGATGTGAATGTCCTTTATGAAGAAAACATAAAAGTGCATCAAAATATAATAAATTGAAATAAGTGGAAAACATTCTTGAGTAGACAATCTAGTATTAGAAAGATCTAACTGTCATATATATATATACCCAAATACACACACACACAAACTCAATAGTATAATTAGAAGAAAACAGAAAGGAAATATCTCTAAAAGGAGAACAATAAGACAAGATGGAAAATCAGACTAAAAAGATAAAAATCAGAGGAATATTCAGATATTTATTACACTACTTCTAAACTATAGACATTTTAAATATATGAGGGTTTCTTTACAGCGCCATAACTTGAATGGAAGGAATACGAAAGTCAATAACACATCCGAACAGGTAAAAAAGCTGACGAGACTAAAAAAATCAGTAACTCTCTTTGAGTACACTAGAAAGTGGAGGACAAATGACAAATAGATGCTCCTCAAATTAGAAAGGAAAATAGAGTTATGGCTTACCTGAGAAAAGAATGACCTGAGAAACTGCTCAGACCAGGGCCAGGTTATGAAAATCTGAACTGTTATTGCTGGAGGTTCAGTGTAGACACTCAAGAGTTAAAACTCCAAGAAAATCCAATCATAAAAAGACCCACAAAAATTGTGAGATTTACCTTCAGATTCCCATAGTAAATACAGAGGGAAAAAAAATTCCTTCCTGATTTTAGTAGGGGTAAAGGAAAAGGAATCATTTAAGTATCAGTGCATCTTGAGTTTTATTTAAAAAGGCCTGCCCTGGTTAACCAGAGTTTAAGTAGTCAGGGTATTATCATAATTGAAGCCACCTTACATGAAGAAAAATACTCCACTCTAACTCCCTCTAGTCTTCCTTTCCATCTAAAGCAAGAGGGAAAGAATGAAGACAAGCTTGTGAAAGTCAGACCAGAGTCTCACAGGACTTTGGAAGGCTTTCCTTCCACCCCACACTCTACCACATTACTAAAGGCCTATGTACAGCAATCCCTTTAACCCAAAGCATTATGTATGGCTATTAAGAAAAAAATGACAAGGCATACCAAAAGGCAAAAAAAAAGCAAACAAGCAATCTAATTTGAAGAGAGAGAATCAGAACCAAATCATGTATAAATGTAAAACACATCAGATCGGATTTAACACATCAGATTTAAAACAATTATAATTTAATATGCTAAGAACTCTAATTCACGAGCAGACAGCATTCAAGAACAGATAGAAATATAATAAGAAAGTGAGAAATCATAAGAACCAAAAAGAAATGCTAGAGATTTTAAAAACATTGTAATAAAAATGAAGAATGCCTTTGATCGGTTTAGACTGGACATGGGTGAGGAAATAATCTGAGCCACAGAATATAAGAGATTCCTTGGCAACATGAACAAAAAAAAAGGATAACAGTCTTAAAAAAAAAAAAAAAACCCACAAGACTATCCAACATCTGTGGGACTAGAAAATCTGAAATATACATGATGAGAATAATAAAAGGAAAAGAATCAAATACATATTTGAAACAATAATTATAGGGAATTTCCCCCAAATTAATGTCAGACACCAAACCACAGATCTTGGAAACTCAGACCAAACAAAATGCTGCATTAACAAAATGCCTCATTGGTTAAAAAACAAAACACAACTGATTAAAAGACGATTATCCAAAATATAAAAACTCTTAAAAGAAGCTAACAAACAACCATGTTTAAAAAAAAAAAAAAGGGAGGCCATAAATCTTAATGGATGCCTCACCAAAGAAAAGACATAATGAATAAGATACAGGTGAATATGAAAAGAGCTGAGCCTATATATGTTATCATACATATTACAACAATGAGATACTACTACAAAGCTATTAGAATGACCAAAATCTGAAACACTGACACCACCAAAGGCTAGTGAGGTTATGGAACAAGAGGAACTCTGCTAGTGGGAAAGCAAAATGTCACAATCACTTTGGAAGACAGTTTGGTGGGTTTTTTTTTTAAACAAACAAAACAATCATAACACCCAGTAATCATACTCCTTCCTATTTTCCCTAAAGAATCAGAAACATTTATCCACACAAAACCCTGCACATGGATGTTTATAGGAGCTTTATTCATAACTGCAACAACTCGGAAAAAACCATATCAGAATTATTCAGTAATGAGAAGGACTGAGTTATCAATCCATGCAAAGACATAAGTGACCTAAAATGACTGTTGTAAGTGAAGGGAAACATTCTGAAAAGGATACATGTACAATTCCAACTCCATGGCATGATGGAAATACAAAACTACAGAAACAATAAAAAGATCAAGGGCAAGTAGCATTAGAGTTAAGTACATAACATAGAGAAATTTTAGGGCACTGAAAATATTCTGCATGAGATCATAATGACGGATATTATATGGCTATCTAAACACAAAGAATGCACAATATTAAGAGTGAACTCTCAAACTATGGAGCCCTCCCTGGAGGTGCAGCAGGTTCAAGTGCAGCACTGCAAGCTGGCTGCAGCTGCTTCAGTGAGAGTTTGATTCCTAGCCCCACATGGCGAGGCAGACCTCTCCAGTATCGCCTGCTGCTCCCCTCAGCAGTGTACTTCATCAATCTGCTTATTCTGCTCCCCTCTCTGTCTCTGGTGAATCGTCTCACCACCCCTGCACCTCTGGCCTGTACCCTAGTTCTGTATGCACTAATAAATAAATCTTTTAAAAAATTTAAAAAACTATGGACTTTGGGTGTGATGATATGTCAATGTAGGTGCACACTTGCCAATAAATGTACCATTCTGGTGAGTGCTGTTGGTAACGGGGGAGGTTATTCATGTAAAACAACTGAGATTATATGGGAAATTTTTACTTTTCCTCTTAAATTTGTTGTACACTTAAAACTGCTTTAAAAATATTGTGTGCTAGAGAGAGATCAGTAGGTAGGTATATATATATCACAACATATTTTTAATAATTAAAACTAAGGGTGTGATCAACTAAAACAAATGCAGTGGATACACCAAAAAGATGAGGGATGAGAACTAGTTCCTAGGATTTGGAAGTACCAAGACTGACAGAACCAGTTATGAAAAAAAAAAAAATTTAATGCCAATATTTACACAAGCACAAAAATAAAGTTACAAGATGTGAATGTCCTTTATGAAGAAAACATAAAAGTGCATCAAAATATAATAAATTGAAATAAGTGGAAAACATTCTTGAGTAGACAATCTAGTATTAGAAAGATCTAACTGTCCCTGAATAGGTGTTACAGAATCAATACAATGCCTATCAAAATCTCCAAATCGTTTTTTATAAGATTTGACAAGCTGAGGTTAAACTGATATGGGGGTAGGGAATGGGGAAAGTCAAGAGTAACTGGGATGATTCTGAAAATGCTAGAATATTTTCTACCAAAATACCTCCCCCACCTCATTCTCTTTTCCTTTCTCCCTCTCTCTCTCATACACACACTCAAACACACAAACATGACTTTAAAAATTATTAGACAAATAGATCAGTGGAATAAATTAGAAAACTGAAACCCAACCCTTTATATAAAACTAATATGACAAATCTAGAATTACATATCAATGCTGGAAAAATTCACAGATCCTTACTTTATACCATCTACAATAAAGAATTCCATGTAAAGTGTAGTAAGAAAAAAATAATAAAAATCTTTTACAAAGTACCATAACAACTTGGGAGAGCATGGCAGAAACTACTAGTTGCCTGTCACATGCTTGTACAGAGGTGAACTAACACATATCTAGAGTATTCACTCGGAAGAAACCGTGGCATATGTACACAAAGGCATCTGATACAATACATTCTGAATAAAGGGCCGATGGGAACAATTCAAGTAATCATCAGCAGGAAAATGATAAACTGTGGTTTTGTTGTATTATAAAATTCTGATATTAAGATGAACTAGTACACATCCAGCTATGTATCTTGCAAGTAAGAATAAAAGCACAATCTAGAAGCAACATTCTACATACCACTTTTAAAACTATAAAAACACAAAAATACTGTATGTTATTCATGGATATAGGCATAAAAACAGCTACAGGAAGAATAAATCTCTAACAAGAGTAGAAAGAGGAAAAAGACTTTAGCTGTACCTACAGCATTTTACATCTTTAAAAGAAGACATCTAAAAGAAAAAATGTTATGATGGATGACTGGAGTATTTGTTTTATTTTTTCTCTCTGAAATATTTCATTATTTTAAAAACTTTAATTATGTTTTTAAATGAAATCTCCACACTGCATGACTTTTAAAGGCAAGTAAGTTCCAGCTCTCATAGCACTGTTTATAAACTGCTACTCACTATTGCTTTGGTTTCCATGTTTTCCCTTTTCTGGTCAATAAATCCTGAAATGTATTTGGTCTCAGAACTGTGGCCTCTGAACAAGTAGCACAGTGACTAGTATAAGCAGCTATTAACTAAGTACCTGAAAAACACCTAAACAAGCCTCTTGATATCAACTTCTCCAACCATCTGTACCTGATATTAGTCAATTACTGGCTTTTCTGATCCTGTTCTCAATCAAACCAAAGTTTTTTTTTTTTTAAAGGTTTTGTCTAAGTTCTCCCTTTTGTAGGTTTTCTGGTATCCTTGACTATTTTAAAGAATCCTGGCTGTATTTAATCAACTTAATTTATGCCTCTCTTATAAAACATCTGATGCATTTATGCAATTCATTCCTGGACTTGAGTCAAGATCTTCTGAAGATATCCAGGTGTTGATGAGACACCTTTTATTCTTCGTTTTTTTCCCAAAAGAGGCCTTCCTTTAATTTCTTTTCTTAAATTAATTTTGTTACTTCGGTAGCTTCTCTATTTCTTTCTGCCATACAAATAGATTTTAAAATAGTTTCCTGTAAGGTTTCATCTACCTTCAGAATCCCAAGTTACTGTTTAAGGAAGATGACTAAGCAGACTTCATAGAGGTAGAAATATAATTATGGGAATTTAAACAACTAAGTAAAGGTGTCCTACACAAGAGAGCATGATATAAAGATTTTTAAAAATACTAATCTAGTAAATTAAGAAATATAACGTGTACAAGTAGAAAAGATTCTCACATGAGTGGTCTGACGAGATGTTGTGTGGAACCAAAACAAAGTCATCCGTGTCACAAGAAGAGTTCTTGCTACTAGTACTGGCAGAATCTTTGGACACTTGTAGATAGTTGGGAGGACCCAATGGTGGGGAAGATAAGGTTTCTTCCTGAATATGCTGCATATCTGGAAGGGACTAAAATTAACAAGATAAAATTAAAACTGGCCTAAAGTAAGATGCAAGTCAGAATAGCCATTAGAATAAGGAATATTCTTTTTCATAAAAATGGGCATAATGTTCATTCTACCTAAGAGTTCAAAAAATCTCCTTGGAAAAACACAGTTTAAAGTATCTTGCATAAAAACTTCTAAATTGTTTTCCCAAAAAATGATACCTAAAAATATACTACTTATCCCATGTACATATCTGCCTCTCTAAATTTTTGAGAAAATGAATTTTTATCATCTCAATATCCCAAATTTTAGCTCATGGCCTAACAAAGCAGATATTCACTAACTGTTCACTGAATGACTAAAACAAAATTATCCAGGGGCTTTAAATTATGGCATCCTACACAAAGTTTTAAATAGCCAATGAAGAAAAGGTTATAAATGGGAAAGCAAGAGACCATGTATGTAAAAAAAAAAAGACAAAAAGGATAACTGCATTTAATTAAGCCTAGAGATTATCTGCACACTAAAGATTAAAGATTTGGAAAACCTCAGAGGTGTGGGTGTTTCTTTTGTTAGGGGAAGGAGTAGGTTTGTGGAAGACAGAACAAGAGGTTAAGAAAAACAAATATATTTAAACAAATGCTCAGGCATTAGTAACAAAAGACTTTTGGTCTTTGCCTAGTTTAATGCCTCTCGTGACAACAATTAACTTCATAATTTATTATGTTAAGTCACTACTTAACCCTTCACCACCCTAGCACAGCAGGAAGTATAAGTGTCTATTAAGTACTTGACAACCAACCTAATATTTCTCTTAATACCAACTTTTCAACCTGCAAATAAAGTCAATGACCATATAATTGAACCTGCACATTTTAAACTTGATATTAAAGTAACCAAATCCTCTTTAAGAAAAGCATAAATACTACATATTGCTCTTTAAACCCAAATTTTAAACAATCAATTGACTGCTCATGCTCCTTTGTCATTCAAATCTCCTTCTCACTTTCGTGTGTGTGCACATGACAAAAAAAAGTGTTTTAAGAAGAACTAACATTTTGAGCATCAATCATGAACTTTCCATATACTACCTAAATTTAGCTCTATCCTGAATCCATTTTCTATACAAACAAGCAAAGATCAGAAAAGTAGGAAATTTGCCCATAGCACAATTAAAGAGCAGTTGAGTTGTGATTTTAAATATCTAACTCCACTTCTTTTCAATGGTTTAGGCAGGAACTTTCTCAATTTCTTCCCCTGCCTGCTATTTGTAAAATCATTGGCATCCAGGCTCTCCCTGATGGCACACTGGGATAAAGCACAGCACTAAAGAAGCTAAAGCCACTTCAGCACAAGTTCAATCCCTGCCCCAGAAATGATCCACATGGCACAGCAGACCTCTCCTGACCCACCTGCTGCT